TAAGATAAGGGATTACTGTCCTTAATTGCAAAGCATTGTGATTTCCTCAAACCAGAGACTAATATACCACAAATCCAAATATAAAAACAATTCTGACAACAAGACAACAATTCTGACAACATCTCACTTGAAAAACAAGTGAGATGTACTTTATCAATACACAGTAAGTATGTTTCATACATTAAACTGCTCCCAAAATATTTCTCGGACAGTTTTTATTCATACGGAAAGTGCTTACATTTCAACAACATGAAAATCTAAATTTCCCTTTGTGGAAATGTGTCAGGGTTGCTGCTTCCCAAGGTATGTTGTTTCTGTCAAGACCATCAATCTCAAAAGTATTCCTACAGCATTCCTGCAAAACACTGGTTAAAATGCCACCAAAAGCCTCAACAAAGTCAAGCCATTCAGTGAAACACATCGGGGGCACAAGAAGAAACTAGACGGACATGCACTGAAAACTGAGAACACGACACAACTGTTTACACAAAGGGTGGTGGGAGAGTGGAACAAGCTTTCCAGCCATGTTGTTGAGGCTGATACCCTTTCAAAAAACAGGTGGATAATCCTCAGATCAATATGCTAACCACCAGGCCAAATGGATTGAATAACCTCTTTTTGCCTAAAAATGGTTTAATATTGCTGAAACTTTCTATGAAGCCCATCCTAATTTATTGCTCAACCACAAGGCCTACCGATTTAACCTGTTCACCACCCGCGCAAAGTACCAGCAGACAAATCAACATTAAACAGTTGGACTCTTAAGTTGAGCTTGACATCAGCAACAGTCTCACAAGAATCAGCTCATCTTCTGTACGTCTGCAGACAACCTGGCGTATTTAAACTGAAGATTAAAGATCTCTCCAAGCCCATTGTTTCTCGTTTCACCTCTGATGGCCACGACCACTGTAATCTCTCCGACTGTGTTCTCAAAGACGGTTTTCCCAACTCCTACATCAGAAAGACCACCAAAATCAAAATTATCCTGCAGCTAGGATCACACCTTCCCCCTTCTCTTAATGACAGACTACTTTTCTTCTAAATTCTCTCTATTCATTGGAAGTTTGATTTCACACCTCTCTACACCTATCCTGACTTCACACCTCCTGATTGGCCTCTCTTTCTGTCCCCTGCTCCCGCCTCTCACTCCTCCTCTCTCCCAGCCTTTGTTCTCCCACTACCTTTGCTTTCTGCCCTTTCTCACACCTGAAGAAGGCTCAATGGCCAAAACATTGTGTTTTCTTGCTTCTTTTTTTTTCAGCATGGAATAAACGTATCACTTGTATTTAAACTGCTACCACTTCCTGCGTGTGTCCTGCTTCCTGCACTGTGCCCACTGGGTTCAACTGCAGCACTGTGTGGGGGCGTGTGGAACTTCCTTCATTTGCAGTTAATTTTTTTTTTCTTGCAATGAAAAGTTAAATTACACACGCCGGTTAAAATGCGGAGGGGCACATTAAAAATGATCTTTTTCCTCCAGAATGCAGGGAGTGCTGTTTAGTAGCCAACAACACCTTCGAAGTTCAAGTGCGCCATGACTGGGACACCTTGAAGGCTGTCCGATTTGTGTATCGGTGTTCAACGAGTCGAGCCCTGCCTCTGGACAACCACAGTCCAGTGGACCCGACAGGTCTGGTTAGCCCTAACGTGTTCAGAATGGGCACACACACACACACAAGTTCAGATCAGCATCATCATTTAACCAGCTCAACATAAATGCATAATATGCAGCTGTGTCCCTCCAAGAGCTGCAGGGCATTAGGATTTTAATTTCAGGTGATCTCTGATGTTCCTCAGTGCACAACCTACCTGCGTCAGTGATAAATCCTAAATTGTTCCCCTTATTTAGAAAGTCGATCTGAGGGTGACTCACAGCACCTGCCGGCCTGCGGCCTCTTCTTTGCAAACGGTATTTGTAAGTAATATCCGTAACCCGGCTCTGAGGTGTATCGAAAGTAGCCACAGCTTTAAAAACGTGAGCGTTGGGAGTAATCACCTGCTAAAGACTGGCAGCAACACTGTGTAGGGGTCTGACTAACTGTTTAATTGGCTGCTCAGACTCGGACACTAGGTCCTGCCTCAAGGACCTGATTCTGGACTTTGAAGCTAGCTGGTTCTACCCGACCCGGCCACAGCCCCCAGTTTACGGTTAACACACGCAAAACATCCCCCGAATCGCCCGTCGCTGCTCGCGAAAGGAGAGGATTCGGGCGCAGTGCCGAAGAAGCCCGGCGCGCGTGCAGTTCCGCGAGCCCACCGGAGCAGCTGGGGCAGCAGCAGCGAGAGAGCCTCGCGCCCCGAGCCTACGTGTGCCGCGGCGCTGCTGGAATGGACTCCTACAGCCACGGCAACAAGGCCGTTATTCCTCCACTGGGAAAACCGCAACAGCAGCCGATTTCACACAGACCAAGCAAACTGGCACCGATTTCTTTACCCTGACCTGGGTACACACACTGACGTGTTTTTTTTTAAAACGTTGGCATACACTTAAATCACTCTTCGATTTAAACCAGGCGAGAAATTCCCTTTAAAAAGTAAATATTCTACAGAAACACCCCCAAGATACGTGTAAACGTGTTTTCACTTCAGAAATACTTTAGGTGAAACGGCGGCCAACCTTTCCAGAGCTGGGCCCGAGCGCCGGGGATGAGCCCGTCATGTGACGGAGCGGTGCGCGACCCCGACCGGACCAGCTCGCAGTCACGAGGCTGGAGCCCACGGACACTCGCACCCGCAGCTCTCCCATTTCACAGCATCGCCCCACATATCACCGCTTCTGACCAAAACAGAGCCGCGAAAGGACCACGCAGGACCCCTCTGAATGAGCACAATAGCTTCGGTACATAGCGATTAAAAAAAAGAGCTTCGCGTTTAATTTTTTTAAAGAGCCACCCGATGCAAAATGACACCAGGTGTTGCGGAATCCCATTTAAGTTGTGAAGTTTCGAGATTCGTTTATGCTATCTAGCTAAAAGCCGCAGTCCTAAGCGAAAGGGGAGAATTTATACCAGACCCAAGTGCACCTGGTGAGGCGGCCGAGCTCGCCGGCGGCACGGAGAGCCGAACATCCCATCGTCTCTGCGGCCCCGGCTCTGCTCCTGTCGGCGCCTCAGGCCAAAATCTCATGCTCGTCTGTTAAAAACCGTATGATGCGAACCTGGGACTGTGCTAAACGCTCTTAGCGAGCGTACAGCCTAACCTGCCCACCCCCTGCAGCGGCTCGGAGACCTGCAGGGCAGGCTGGAGAGCAGCCGACTGCGTCCTAGCAGCGAAACACAAAACCCACCAAAAATATACACGTCCCCCCAACACAAGATCCACAAAACTTGGCCTGCAGTCTCGGTAGAATGAAAGGGATAATACTTACTTGTAGCTCCTTGCAGAGAGCGCTATTAATCTATTTAAATCGTTCAAATTCTTCCGAACAGTCCGTAGATAGCGTATAGCCATATTCGCCTGTGAACAGCAAACGCTGGCTCAGGGCATGATGATACAAACCGCTGCACTACATATCCCAGCACACAACAGCGACTACAATACCCAGGGTGCAACGGGGGGTGAGGGCAGTAAGAAAGATGGCGCCTTCTAGCGTGGGTTCGACAAATTCTAATGTATCAGGGCTTTGTTCTTTTTCTAGGCATGTACCCGTTTTGACATGTAACTGCGTGACGAGTGAGAGTTATGGTCACTTTTAAAAACCACAGATTGCAGTTTAACTTGGAATATTCACATAATTCATGCTCTGCGAATAAAAAAACACGTCACTGAAGAGACAGTTCTCTTCTTCCAATTCTGGAAGTATTAACATATTTACTTTTACTATTTAGTAATAGGTTTATTCCATGCTGAAATGAGAAGAGAGAAAGCACAACGTTTCGGCTGTGGAGCCTTCTTCGGGTGTGAACCCACCTGAACTACATATTTATTTAGTAAAACAGCACCAGCAGAGCTATAGGACAACACGGTAACACATGTCCAGTCCTGGTCTTGTGTCGGAGTGTCGGCAGGTTCTTCAAGGACTCTTGACAGCGCTAGCACCTGTCCAGCCGAGAAGAGCTACAGTATTAGTGGTCCGGTTAACCCGTAACGAGCAGACCCTCCGTGCCACAGGGAAGAGGTTTGCCAGTCCGTAGTCCTTCAGCTCAGACCAAGGCGCGCTCAGTCCTTCCCGCTGGTCAAGTCCCTGTTCCTCTGGGCTCCCGCTCGACTCACCCCGTGTTTGTGCTGACGTAAACGTTGTGTTACATTCACACGGGCTGCCACATGACAGTGGCCACACCGGCAGCGCAACTGTTTTAGGTAAAATCGGGGAGTTCAAAGAAAACTTACATTTGGCTTTATTTCTCTCGCATAGGGGTTAATTTGACCCCCATGGTGTTTAGCCCACCAGTGTGTCTTTGGACTGTGGGAGGAACCTGGAGTACCTGGACGGAACCCATTTGAACACGGGGAGAACATGCAAACTCCACACATATAGTACCCCAGGCTGACCACTGTGCCACCCCCTCTCCCTGCTCAAATCGATGGTCTTGCTATGGACTGAGATCCGGTCTCACCTGGGGCTCGTTGAAAATTGGGGCATCTGTGATAACTGGCCCTGATTAAGAAAGTTTTTAATTGATGTAAGTTTAAAGCCACACTGGTGGTGGTGGAGGGGAGTCCCCATCACCTGTAAAGTGCTTTGAGTGGAGTGTCCAGAAAAGCGCTATATACGTGTAAGCAATTATTATTATTATAATGATCAGCATCCCTTCAATCCAGTGAACAGCTTCTAAACTCTGAAGACAGCTCAACATGGACAACAGGTTGCGAGACTGAGAGCTGGGCATCAGGCCTATTCTCTGCAGAGCAGAGAGGGGAATTTCAAAGAAAACATCATGAAGAACCGCAGAGAAAAAACAGAACCTGGCTGCGGCAGGGAGGAATAGGTATGCCATATCAGGCATGCCTATCCAGCAGCCATATCACCCTGCAACTCACAACTGGCAACCCACTGAAGCCCAGCAGGTGTGAGCCTGGTCAGTACCTGGATGGGAGACCTCCTGGGAAAAACTAAGGTTGCTGCTGGAAGAGGTGTTAGTGGGGCCAG